TCAGCACTAGATCGTGATTTCTCTGGAAAAGGTGTTTCAACTCCTGCAGCTGTAGCCCTGTCACAGAGGCAGCTGCAGGACCCCAGCGCTGGCACAGGCTGCATTTTGGGCACGGTAACTGGAATGGACTGTGCACTGGGCGTCAGAACTGACACAGGCTGGACATGGGGTCCTGTAATGGTACAGGCTGCTCATTGGCTGACACTGTACTTGGCATAGACTGAACACTGGGTACTGTAATTGGTATGGCTGTACAGCACCCACCTGGAAGAGCATAGGGTGTGCAATAGGAACTGCCATAGGTGGTGTGCTCGATCACTTAACTGGCATAGGCTGTACATTGGACATAGTAAATGGCACGGGACAGACATGGGGAACAGAAACAGGCATAGGCTGTATCTGGACCTCAGTGATTGACACAGGCAGTACCTGGGGCACAGTAACAGGCATAGGCTGTACCCGAGGCTCAGTGATTGGCATAGGCAGTAACTGGGGCACATAACAGGCATAGACTGTATATGGGACAGTGACAGGCACAGCTGTACACGGTGCACAGTAACAGGCACAGACTGTACCTGGGACAGTAACAGGCACAGGCTGTATATGGGGCAGTAACAGGCACAGGCTGTATATGGGGCAAAGTAACAGTCATATAGTGTGTACATGGACACAGTGATTGTCATAGACTGTAACTGGGGCACATTAACAGACACAGGCTGTATATAGTAACAGGCACAGGCTGTACCTGTGGCACAGTCACAGACATAGGCTGTACCTGGCGCACAGTAACAGGCAGAGGCTGTACACCAGGCACTGTTACTGACATACACTGTACTCGAGGCACCAGATGTGATATATGCTGTACACAGATCACAAAGCTGCACAGCCTCGGTACCCCCTATGCTCTCAGGAACTGGCTTCTGAGGTGGACGCTCATTCTCCTGGCTATTGGGACTGGCACTCTCTCGGTCATCCATGATGCCTGAAGGTACAGCAGCAGAAGGACCTTCTCCAGTCTTCCCTGTTTTTCTGTTCTACTCCTCTCCATTCTGCTGTTGGGCTCCCGACACAGGGTGGTCCCTTCCACCCTCTTCCTCATTTCTTCCCTCTTCATATGGGGAGAGCATCGGTGTCTCAGCACCTGAAAGTAGAAAACAGAAAGAAGAGGCGACAGGGACCAGGGTGGTGCAAAGTTGCTATGACATCAAGGCAGGTGAAGCCCTCAGTGCCCCACTCCTCTCCAGTCACCTCTGAGGAACAACATCTCCTCATGGACATGGCCAACCCACCACTCCTAACATGCACTGACCTTTCCATTTTTCCTGGTCAGGTCCCTCAAGAGGCAGATGTTTGATGTTTCCATGCTCCATGACAGGAATGCTGTTGAAGATCCTCAAGGTTTGCCTTCCTTTGTGTCTCTTCACATTCTGAGGGGGAGACCCATATACTTCTGGCAGGAGAACTACTCCACCAGGAAGGCTTCTTTCTCTTCTATACCTTAACGACCTAACATCCAAGTTATTGTAACCAATCAGAAGCCTTCCTTTCTGGCTTCCTGGAATGATTGACAGTTGCAATGGACTGAGCCCCTGAGGTCCAAACCAACAGCAGTGTAGCTGGAGTTTTCTCTCTGGGTCCTGCCATGCCCCGGCAGTCCGACAGCCCACGTATAAAATAAACACACAGATGCTTATATTATTTAAACTATTTGGCCGTGGCAGGCTTCTTGCTAACTGTTATTATATCTTAAATTAACCCATTTCTATAAATCTATACCTTGCCACATGGCTCGTGGCTTACCGGCATCTTAACATGCTGCTTGTCATGGCTGCGGCTGGGCAGTGTCCCCCCCTCACAGCAGTTTGGAGCTTCAGTGAGCAGGATGTGTTTACAGGGAAGGTGTGGCCCTTGGGCAAGGCGAGTGTAGAAGGAACCTTCCAAGTGGCATCTCAACTGAGTCCCCTGGTCTTGGGGAATTATCTTCCTAGGAAATGGGTGGTGGTAAACTATGGGAACAAATCTGCAGTGAGTAAGAAAAAAAAACAATAATTTTGAGGCCTTGTGGAAATGTGTGGACCATATCTCTTGGGGAAGGTGGGAAAAACTCACAATGAGCACATGAGGCTTGGGTGAAGACTGGAAAATTTCTCAACATTCCAGACCCCACATTTCCGACTCTCTATGACACATGAGATGAACATTGAGTAGACAGGGTCAGCTCTGCATGTGTCTGCTTCAAGAGTCTTCAAGGACTCTGAAAGCAGAGGCCAGTTCCGGACCTCCACCTTCAGCAGTGGCATTTTAGTCCCATGTTTACAGTGTGTTGTGCAGCACTTCGAAACAGCCAGTGCAACCCTTGCAAAAGTTAACAGACTCCAGACAGCCAGTGAAGAATCTGCATTAGAATGCTTATAGAAGGTCCTGTCCAGTGCTTCTCAGCTCTGCAAGTTCAGACACTGCACCAACTGCACCCTTTGTGTTGCAGTACAAACTGCTGAGGGCTGAGGGTGCATTTGTACAATAACCTGGGCAGAGTAAGTGCCACAGACTCTGGAAGGCCATAAACAGTGGAGAGGTTGTGTGCACTTCTTGTGGTAGAGTGACTGACCTCATTGACAGTGCTTCAGAGTGCTGGGGTTGGGGTGGGGTGCTGTGGGATGTTCTGTATGTTAAATGTGTTGCTCTGATTGGTTAATAAATAAAACACTGATTGGCCAGTAGCCAGGCAAGAAGTAAAGGCGGGACAAGTAGAGGGGAGAATTCTGGGAACAGGAAGGCTGAGTCAGAGAGACGCTACCAGCTGCCGCCATGGAAAGCGAGATGTAAGGTACCTCTAAGCCACGAGCCATGTGGCAACTTATAGACTAATAGATATGGGTTAATTTGAGATATATGAACTAGATAACAAGAAGCCTGAGCCATTAGGCCAAACAATTTAATAACATAAGCATCTGTGTGTTTATTTTATAAGTGGGCTGCCGGGCTGCCTGGGCTTGGTGGGCCCCTGAGAGAAAACTCCAGCTACAGTGGGGTGTTAATAGGACCTGAGAATGAAAATGCAGTATTTTCCTTTGGTTTGTTTCTTCGTTTTGTGTTTGTGACAGTCTCTCATGTATCCCAGGAAGCCTGAACCTCACATGTCACATACTGTGTACATCAGGATGACTAGTGCTGTTCTTCCTTGTGTTATACCCTCCCACTGTTCACAGGAGTGCATAGAAATATCTGGCTTTTGGTTAATTAACTAATTATAAAAAAGAAGTATTAGAACTGGAGGCTTAGCTGTGCATAGAGCTGCAGCATGGCTGGACAGCCCCCAGGAATTCTAATTATATTGTAGGGCAAACATCTCAACCTATAAATGTGAACACCATGGCTAGAAATAGGAAAACCATGTCAAATAATGCTGGATATTAGCTAAATCAAACAGCTCATTGTTTTGGAGGAAATATCCAGCCTTTCACTGAAGGGAAGACATAGAGCACTGCTACTATGGACTGAAAGGGCTTGAGAGAAAGATCCGGAAGGTAAGGATTGACGCTGCATGGTGGTTATGCTCACAGTGCTCTCTGTGGGTGGAAAGTCTTCAAGAGCGTGGTAAACCCAGCAGTAAGACAGGGATTTCAGAGTCCCTGAAGTGGGGGCTCTGACTTTAATAAGTCCTACTACACAAGGGAAGTCATAGAAACCGAGCCCCGTGATTTCAGGAGGAAGTTGTATATGGATTTGAGATATCTGAGTGAAGGGATGTTTACAAAATGTCCTCAATGAACAGCAGAAAGTCTTTTCTCTTAAAGTATCAATGAAAACGCTTACCCTTAGACACAGATGCCAGCCAGTCATGTGTAGTCAGCCAATAGAAACACAGATCCCTTTTCACACATTTACCTGGTCTCCCCACAGTCTCCGTCCATGTTTTATGAAGGTGCCTTCTCACAGACACACGGTCCCTTGCACAGCAATGTAAGCTACAGAAAAGTGGAGCCTCTTCTAATTGATAGGAAGTCCAGTCAGAAACTGAGCCAGACATGTGGTCACCTAGAGCATGCCTCCACAGGATCTGGCCCTGTAGCTGGATACACATTTTGTGTAGCCGTTTCCTCCAAGATAAGACATTCCATTTGGAGGAAAGCTCCTGAAGACAAAAGACATTCCAAATGGAGGCGAAACATATCATAATAAGGGAGAGATGGTTAAGACACAGGAAGTAAAAGGCTTGATAGCTCCAACTAGGCTTAGAAGATGTTTGTTCCCAGTTTCTCCCGGCTCCCCAGGAAGAGTGTCAACAGCACATCTCAGTTCCACATAACCGGGGAGCACAGAATGAGAATCCACAGTCAGCTGAGGCACAGGATGCCACCCACAGGTTCCGTTCATGGAACATCAGCCTCAGTGAGAAGACTGAAGCCACTGGATGTGGCAGCCAGGAACTGGAGCATGTCACCAGATAACACTCTGTACCTGGAAGATGGTGGCAAGGGCCTGTATGGAACTCAGGAAAGTCATGTCTTGCTGGAACATCCAATGTGGAGCCTCAGGACCCTTCCTCCTGATGCCTCCAGGGCCCCAGTGAACCCATCTCTCTGTCTATCTCTGCTTCTCCCTGTGTGATTCCCCACCATGACCCCTTGGGGATTAGGTCTAGGGTGGGGACATACTGGAGATGGGTGGGAACAGCCATGACTAGAAACACAGTGTCCTCTGCTGGAGACTTGCCCCACCTGACATTATAAATAATTGTTCCACAGAGGTGGAGTGAGTTGACAAGCCCATGATGAGGGTGTGGAGAATCATGTGGGGTCAGCATGAAGCAGCATAGCACCTGGAAATCTTCCTCACTCAGCAAGGCACAGTGACCACAGCTTGCCAGTGTCACCTCCTGCCATAAATGCCATTTCTGGAATAGGCTAATATGGTTCAAATACTTATACTCACATTTTAGTAACCTGAAAAACAATGGAACCAACATACTTAGAATCCACCTCTTTATTGTGGAGATAATTGCAGGGAAGAAAAGGTTGTCATGACCAGCACAGGCGGCCGAGACATTGGGGGCAGGGCCAGGTTCCAGGTCATCTGGCTTTGGAAAGAGGCCACACATGAGCTGCTCCAAAATCTTCAGGAATCGTTGTTGTGGGGACCAGGTGGTGCATCAATCAGCACCACCTTTCTATTGCTTCTGAAAATGGCTCTCCTGGCCCTAAACCAATCCTACAAGCAGAAGAAAGGGTTGCTTTTAGTACTGTACTGTACCACCACTGAAGAACATATCCTTTAACCACGTATACTGGCTCAATTTTACTAGCATTTTAGAACATCTATGGAACCCATCCCTGGGCCAGTATGTGCTAGGTATGGTGCTCCAGGACAGAGCTACTCCCCTAGCAAAGTACCACATTTCTGTTTGCCCAGAAACTGTTTGTTTATCGATCTAACCCCAAGAACGGTTGAAGACTTACCTCAAGTGTGTACTGATTGTTCAGAATGCTGGAAGCAACAGGTTTCATTCTCATTGAAACAGTCAAAACACCCCCATGAAGCCGCTGAGGACATGTACCCCCACACCCAGTCCTTCTGCTATGGAACAGACCCAGAATATAGTCTATTCTCTCCATCACTTGATACTTTAAACGCATTCTTTCAGGAAAGCATGCAGATCTAGTTCAGTCCTTGCTGTGTGTTGAAAAGTATCAAAAACAGTTCTCTTGGAACCCCAGAGTACTATCTCAAGGCCCAAAGCTTTCTGTAAAAGGCTCCATGGTGATAGCCTTTTATGAGTATCCACAATGCACATTTTATGAGACAAAGGGCACTTCTTCCTGTTCTATGCTTCCTCCCCAGCCTCCAAGCATACTGTGTATAGGTCTTTTCCCTTGTGGGCATGTGGTCTGGAAAAGTCAGGACTGATTGTAATGGTGAGCAGAGTTCACATACATAACCAACAAAAGCCTGGTAAAAGGGTTATGGGTCGTTTGAGGTTCCTGGTCCCAGTATTGATTCAGAACTAAGCCAGGCATGGGACATTTACAGACTAGATCAAGAAGTCTGAGAAAAGGTTTTCTGAGACACACAGAGTGAAAGAGCTGAAGGTGGGCAAGAACATGGTCTCTTCACTTAAGTGAGGCATGCGGGCTGCACAGCCTTCAGAAGGTCATGGAGAACACACTATGTTCACTGAGGGTCAGACAAAGCACCTTGGCATCTTAGGTTTCAGGTGTCCAGGTTGGCATTTCCTGCCTGAGAAAATGGAGGTGTTTCATCATCTTGAGCCTAGTTTGGCTGTGGACTGGGTCTGGCATCCTTGGGATGCAACATCAGGTCCCAATTTGCTGCTACACCTCTCTTCTAGACAGCACCATCACAAGATGTGGAGCCCTTCCAAAACATTAATTTTTTAAAAAATACTGACCTGCACATCTGCTTCCGGCACACCCATTGATATTGCAAGATCCTTCCTGAAGTGAAAAGATTCCAACATTCAGGCCTTGTAGTGGAAATAAACTGTATAAAGACATGTCCTGTTTGCTTTTAAATGTTTGTGTCCACACTTGTGTGTGTGGACATGTGTACATACACACACACACACACACACACACACCCAGACACATACACAAACACATGCACACACTCGCACAGACACACACACAGTATTCCTCACACATACTTTGAGACTTACTTCAGTAACAGGTTTCTTTCAGGGACCAAAATTAAGGGTAATCCCCCAAAACACAGGTATGTGGTCTATGTACTTATCATGTAAAGCTTCATTAACAGAGCCTCCACGATGAAATGTGTTAGTCAAATTTTAATCTGAGGTGGAATCCCTCCTGCATTTTCCCAGCCACAACTCAGGCTTCTCATTCATACTTACAGAGACTTATTTAGAACAAGCATTGTCTAAATTTCCCACTCACGTGTCAATTAAACAGGCAACAAAACACAATCTTTCCAGTTGGACTAGGGCACATCTGCTTACTCCAGAATCCATTTTCTGCTGGAGGGTCCAGACATGGTGGCTTTGTTTGTAGAGGAAATCAGGGGTCAGGGAGCACCAAAGGACAGCCTGGATGCACTGATAGAAAACCAGGCGCCTAACAGGCCTTCTGCTTACCTTACTTGAAAGCTGGGGAAGCGAGTCTCTTCGAAAAGACGCTCCAGGTCCTGCAGCTGAGACTGGGTGAATCTGGTGCGTCTCCGGAAAGACAGGTTGTCACCAGCCTGGAGACTGTTGGTGCCCTCAGGCATTGCCGCCTCTTGCTGAGGCTGCTGTTCAATACTGCTGCCATGACCACCTTCTGCCTGGATCCCCTTGTCCATGGCGCCAGAACTACCATCTCCAGCTTGTCCTCCTTCCATTTCTTCTTCTTCGTTTTCTCCCTCCTCTACCACTCCTGTGGCTTCCTGAGTAAGACCGGACTGAGCAAGCTCTTCTTGAGCAGGCTTGCTTGGGGCAAGTTCGCCCAGAGCAAGTTCGCCCTGATCAAGCTCACCCTGAGCAAGCTCGCTCTGTACAAGCCCTTTCTTTCCTCCTTCCTCTTCAGCCTTCGGGACTATTTCATTCCCACCTGCAAGAGAGAAAAACACAAAGATAAAGATCTGAGCATCGTGGCCCATGGATCATTGGAAAGCCTGGAGAGGGCCCACAGGCAGAGCTCGGTAATCAAAGTGCCTGGCCACTGGCCTTTCCACCAAATTTGCTTCCCGGACTTTGCCCAAGAAGAGTCAGAACCATTTTACTGACCATGCTGTTGTTCCTGGTCTTCATTAGCTCCTAGACACAGCAACCTGGTGAAAATGTGGCAGCAGCACTGGCGAGACTCCATGCCAGGAATCTTTCAATCAGACCCGAGTTCTGAAGACTTAAAAGCCGTGTCCTCACGGTCTGACGCCAGAGGTACAGCTGTGACTCTTAACCGGAAGGCTTGTCTTCTGGAGACTCAACGTAATTACAATGTGTCCAATCACACATTCTGGCCTGCACAGCCTCAGTGGCTGTGGGCTTGTCCTCTGAGGTGCTTAGCCTGAAGCACTTTAGAGCTGCAAAGAGCAGGGAGTATTTAAAAACTGCAGTGAGTGTGTGCGGTGGGGGTGCGGAACCTGTGGCTCTGGTTTGCTCCTTAGCTGACACCTCTAGTTTTGGGTAATGCTGGACTGTCCAAATTCAGTCATAGGGAGTAACCAAAGACCTTTTCAAACTCAGCAGGCCCTTGAGCCCAGCTAAATCACTTTATCAAATTATGGAAATGTCCTTCAAACAAAATGCCCCAATCTTGGTTGTGCTGCCTTGAAGAGCCCTGAATGATGGCAACTATGTGGGTAGGCCAGGGCAAGATCCTCCTGAGAGACTGTGCTCCCAACAGGGCTGAATTCCACCGGTGTTCACAAGCTCATTCTGATGGAGACCTTTCTCTACCTAGCTGTGCTTGACCAAGGTCCTCGGGTGACCCAGATACCTGAGGGCATCAAGATCAACCCTGGGTACTGGCTCCAAACCTCACAGTTGTGAAGGTTAAAGAGAGGAGGAGTAAGCAATTCTGGATGGAAGCTCTACAAAGAATCATTGCAGGACGGGGCAGAACTGAGGAAAAGTTAGAGAGACTCTCCAGAGTAGGTGACATTCCCAAAATTTAAAAGAGCCACTGAGCTCTGTCATTTCGTGGTTTTTGTTTTTAATAGGATCATGGTAGAGTCTGGACAATGATTGAGGTAATTGTTAGGAGATGGGTTAGTTCTCTGGTATAGCATAGGCTGAGACACTGGAGGGCCCACGGTCCACATGGTCTAGCCCACACCAAGGAGATGATCATTCTCTGTTCACCCATTGCCCACCTAGTCAGGGGTGGCTCAATCCCCTCCCACCACAGGCCCTTTATCCATCCCTGACTAGGGCTTTGTGAGTTGTGGACCTTGACTGTCTTGTCGCCATTAGCCACTGCATGGTCTTGTGTCCTCTGACTTTTCAGCTGTCCCAGGTGCTTTTAATTATCCTCAGCTCTCTGTCTTCTCACAGTCACCAAGAAGCAGCTGCAACTCTCCTTCCTCTTCTCCTTGTCTCCTGAGTCATTGTGAAGGCTTCCCTGAAACACCGAAATGGGAGGCTTTCTTAGACACAGACTTTACTCACTCTCACAATTAGCTGCTGGAGAAGCTAGGCTATTTTAGGAGACAATAGTATCATGGGTGCTTTCCTGAAGGACTTGGTGGCCTGGTTGGACTGCCCACACTAGACCAGGAGCCCTGTCTTTACCAGTGTGAGACAGCTTGACTGTCCTACTGATCCCATAAACACTTTGTGTCTCTTCTTTGGTGTTCCTGGCTTGGCTGTTTCAAATCAACCCTCATTTTAGCCCTAGCATCCCTTCAACATATGCGAGCAACTTAGAAATTTGAACGTGAGTGCTTTTTCCTCACTAAGGACAGAGACCTCCCTCCTGCATCCATACCAACCCCAGATTCTGAGATAAATTTCCCAAGACACTGTTCCAGGGTTGGTGTGAAGCAGGTAAGCAATCATGTATTCAGGGTGCCCCAGAGACTGGTCATTTCTTCCCCTTTCTACTGAGCTCACAGGACACTGGGTGTATTCTTTTATTTCTGGCAGTTTGCTCCCAGGGCTTAGCAAAGAGTGATGCAGAGGGATATCACTCTCTGGTGGTTGATTCAGCACCCTAAAAGATGGATGCTTGCTGTGTAACCCAGAGGAGCTGTGGAGTGCAATATGGGAGTAGCTAACAGAGGTAAACACCAAGGCCTGTTCTGCTCCAAGCTGTCATCTATGTGAGTCTGGAAACCAGCACCCATCTCTGCCTTTACCTTTGATCCTCTTGACTCTGCTGTCCCCATCTTGGACCTGGGGAAGGGACTCTACTCCTCTGACTCCTTAGGATGTCTGCTGCTCGCCTGCTGCTATCTAGTAGCCCAATCTTACATATCACTGCATTGACAGGAAACCTGTACCCATAAGCAGCTTTTTGCTGTAGAACAGCAGTGATTCATGAGCCCAATTACTGCTCTGTGTGATTTTCTTTTAGGTTATCTTCTGTGAGGGACTCTCCAGGATTGAAATGCATTAATGCAATCTTGTGGCTCCTTCTTGTTTAGTTACATGCTCAATGCTTTAGGTCAGTGATTCTCAACCTTCCTAATGCTGTGGCCCTTTAATAGAGTTGCCCATGCTGTGGTGACCCCAACCATTTTCGTTGTTACTTCCTAATTGTAATTTTGCTACTGTTATGAGTCATAATTTAATATCTTTGTTTTCCAATGGTCTTAGTTAAGGTCTGTGGACCCCAAAGTTAAAAGGGCCTACAACTCCCAAGTTGCGAACCACTGCTTCAGGTTAAGGCATGTGATTGTGAAGTTTCTACACTATTTTCCAATGGGACTCTGCTCATCATAGTTATTAGATGGGAAACCTATCTGCACACAGATTTTCCTGAGGGATTTCTTGGTCAGCATGCACAAGTCCACACAGGTGCATTCACAGTCACAACATTCACATGAAGAAACATCTGTAGCCAAAGCCCTCCCATCCCATTGTCCAATCCCCTAGAGTGAGGCTAATGTGCAGATTGTAAGAGCAGTTCTAGAAATATGGAAAGCAAAAAAGGAAAGTGGTCCAAAATGTTTCCTAAAGCTAGTTCCTGCCGGGAAAGGAAACACAAATGAATTCTAAGTCTTTTTTTGATGAGCACAATTAAAAAAAAATCTTGGATCACTGCTTAACTAAAACCCAAGACAATATTAAGTTTACCTTGAAGAATGTTGAGATAATTCAAATGAGCAATTTTAGAAGCAAGTTTTCAGCTCTAAGAAGAAATGTAATTGTGGGATCAGGATCTATACCTGTTGCATGCCGGGGCTTTTTGGAGGTCATTACCTATGATGGGACACCTTGCACAGCTTAGGTACAGAGGGGAGTGGCTTGGACCTGCCTCAACTGAATGTACCAGGCTCTCCTGAGTTCCCATGGGAGCCTTACCTTTTTGGAGGTGGGGATAGGGAGGTAGGTTGTTGGGGGTATGTTGGGGGAATTGTGAGGAGAGATGAGAAGGGGATCTGTTTTTTGGTATGTAAAATGAATAAAAAATTTCTTAAAGAAAAAAAGAAGAAACATAATTGACAGGGAATGAATTCTTTGATGAGCTTTTACCTGCGTATGACATCATGTCACATACAGAAAGAATAATAAATGGGGAAGCTTTCCTAGATTTGAGACATCTTCCACAAACCCATGGTCAGCATAGTAGGGACACCTGACATTCCATGAACCAGCTGCGGCCAGGTTGGCTCTCCCACAAGGCCTTTGTGGCTCATAGGACAGGATACACTGACCCCAGCACTGCCCACTTAGTCACAGCTCACTGTGTTCTTTCTCTGCTCAGCACCCCATGGCCTGATCTTTCAAGCCATCAAGTGATAATCATGTCTTTGGCAGGAAAGTCAGAGGCTTCCACCTGGCTCATCTGAAATGCAGCTGTTCTCTCTCTCTGTGTGTCTCTGTCTTTCTCTGTCTCTCTGTCTCTGTCTCTCTCTCTCTCTGTCTCTCTCTCTCCCTCTCTGTCTCTCCCCCTCTCTCTCCTCTCTCCCTCTCTCTTTTTTGTGTGTATACTGGTGTCTTGTGTAGAAATAATGAAGAGTCAGGCCCTCTCTGAACCAGGAAAGGAGTGGACAGGTCAGGGATCATCCCTTCAGTCTTTCAACCAGCCACATCACTTTGGAGGTGTTCTTGCTTAACCCCTCTGGTATGCTGTATCCTAGCAACAGGCCCTGGAGCGTTCTTGCTGTATCCAGGCCATAGTTCCTGTCCCTGGTTATAGGTCTCATCCTACAGGGACTCAGTAAGGACTCTTCCTGCTGTTTGTAAGAGACACATGGTAGAGAGAGACAAGGGTTGATTTAGAGCGAGTACAGGACTGGGAGCTGGGTGGGAAGACATCTAGAAGGACAGTATCCTGAGGAAGGAGAGGGTGGGGTGGCTGAAGTGAGCTCCAGGGAAGGGTAACTCTGAAAGTGATGGTAGAGGTGTGGCCAGGAGATGGTCTGGAGACAAACTGGGCCAATTTTCCAGTGGAAAGGAGTCGAGGTTGGGGGAGAAATATGTACCAATTATGGACCTCGCCAGGTCATGGTGGCACATGCCTTTAATCTCAGCACTGGAGAAGAAGAGTGAGGGGAGATCTCTGTGTGTTTGAGGCCATTCTGGTCTACAGAGCGAGATCCAGGATAGGCACCAAAACTCCACAGAGAAATCCTGTCCGGAAAAACCAAAAAAATCATTATGAGCCCCAAGAAAGAGGTTGGAGCTGGGGTACCCAGCAGTGCACAGGAAAGAGGCCACTGAGAAGTCAGAAGACTGCAGCAGATGAGAGCGTGCTGTGAGCATGACGCACTGTGCATCAGTACAGAAGTGAGGCAGGCTGCAGGACAGTGGTGGGGATTTCTCATGTAAAGCAGCCTGGCTAACCAGGGTCCAGTGTACAGAAGGAAACCTGGGCCCTTGTAAAATCTCCAGGACCCTAAATGTGCCTTTGTGGGGCTCAAAGACCAGTAAAAATGGTTCTGTTGTGTACACAGTTGACCACATAAACTCCCCTTGTGCTCTCCGAGAGGGACCTGTTCTTCCTGGATGCAAGCTTAGGCTGGCATAACAAGCACTCAGATAGTCCCCTGGTGGGGTGGTAAGAACATTCAACTTCTTCAGTGACACCCATGGAGAATGAAGAATGCTTACTAGTAGAAATTGGTTATAATGACTTAGTGTGTGTTGATTTGGCTGTGATACTCACTGCAGAATTATGTCTAAATAAAAAGCTGGGAAGGGCCTTGATATCCTTCATTGGAGAATTTACTCCATAGGCCAAAGTCTGACCTGAGGCTAGATGATTTTACAGACCATGAATATCATGCTCTCACAAGTGCAGTCCAGGTTGATCTTTCCAAAATGCCACCCTGACTCTGCTGCTTCTCTGCTCAGACGCTGCCCACCACCTTTCTGACTTTGCAGGAGCCCAACAGTGCCCTTCTCCGACCTCGTATTCCATTTGAGTTGTCACCAAACAGTGTTGTTTGGTCCACCTTTGCTCCTTCTGGTTTTATTTCTGGCAGGTCTACTTTCTAATTTAACTCTGAGGCTCTGTCCTGTGCACACTTCCTGGTCTTCCTGCCTGTTTGAACGGTTCTATACTGCCATTAGTACCTCCTATTACTGAGTTGGGATCCCTGAGGGCCTCTGAGGTTGGCCTTTTTAGTGCTGGATGTGTTCCTGTGGGCAGAGGACTTATGCTGGGAACAAGGAAGCAATTAGGCAGATAGATAGCCTGCTCCCATGTAGGAGGGATTGTAGCCCACCAATGTACCTGGGCCAACTCCAGTGTACCTGGGCCTCTCCACAATGCTGCCAGGGTAGGCATTTGCTGGCTACCAGATAACAGCAGTCTGCCAGAGGTCTCTTCATGAGGCTGTGAGACATACTTGAAACATCTGTCCCTGTACTTACACAGGAACAAGATATTCAAAACAAAATAAAATTAAAAAGATCAACAAGATTTGATGGGCTAGAGGAATTGTCTGTAGTTCAGATTACAAGCCTCTTCCCACTGGACACTCAGACAGTTATGTGGCATACAACTCTGCCCTACACAGAGACATATTGATGAGCAAAGTATGGAGTGGAAAGATGATAAAAGTATGAGGTGTTAGGACCTCCCTCTCTTAGAAGTTAGCTCATGTAGAGGCACTATAATGTCATACAACCATGGAACAACAGAATGCCAGGATTAGACATAGAGACAAATTTATAAGGATATAAATGTGAACATTGATTGTATTATGTCGGAATTTGAGTAGTAAGTGCAGCATCTTTGGCCTGAAGACTTTTCCTGGGCAGTCTGACCACTAAGAGTTAATAATACACTGCTTGAGACATGGCAAAATGCCCAGGGTGGTTGAACATTTTTGTTTTAGTCTAGTGTCCTTGAAGCAACCAAAGCAACCAGCCTGAGCACAGGCTGTCATATGCCTCTAGATTCTCAAAACTTGGGTTATGAGGTTAGTGAGTAAGAATGATAAGTCTGTTTATTAATGATGTCAAAAGTTGAGGGAAATGATGGGAAATAATAACTCTTTTCTGTCATAGTTTATTAATGATGACTAAAAGATGAGCAAAAGGAAGTGAAACACATGTCCAAAACCAAAAATGAAATGATCTATGTTTTGGAACATCATGAATGTATCCCTGCTAACTAACTTCTATATAAATAAAGACACACTCTGGCTGCTAGTCAGTCAGGCTGCAAGAGTCTCCCAACCACCATGACCTGGCTCACTTCCTTCCCTGCTGACTCCTTATACTCTCTCTAAGTGATAGCAATGATTTTTGTCATCAAGATGCATTTTTTCAAGTTGAACGGTTCCTTGGATCTCCTGGTTTTTCTCTTTCCCTTCTCTAAAACTTCTGTTAGAAATTTTACTTTTAATATTTAAATTTTTTTGAAAATATGTAGAAAATTTCTGCATTCTTTGGTTTTCTCTGTGCACATGCATCCTGTTGCTATGGGAACATAAACCAATCCAGGAAGTAATTCAC